ACTTGTTCTTCTTCATGAGTGTCTTTGTTCAGGGTTTCCGTTGGGGGCGAACATTGCCAAGCCGCATGTGTCCGCACGCAAGCACTCCAAAGACTGCTTAGTCGTGCTCCATGGCTTCAAGGGACACCAGGTGAAACGCCGCCAAAAGCGAACCAGCGGGGCTCCGACTTGCGACCACGGCGCGATCTTTTGGCGGAGGCGTCAGGCGAGGCTCGTTGGTTTCTCTCTTCCGAACAAGGTCCACATCAGTAGATGACTGAATCAAGGAAGGAACGGGATTTCCTCAAGGTGTGAATCCTTCAATCGTTCGCTCTGCCTTGGTGTCGAGGTTTGCAGTTCCAGCGTGTCACCTGCAGTAGGCTGTCCAGTCTGCAGTGCCTGATCTCCGTCAGGTGCCTTAGGTTCAAGTGAAAGTCCAGGTGATGGCAGAATCCGCCCAGTGGCTCGCAGGTCCAGTGGCAGAAAAAAAGAAGTGTCACCAGTGCTTCTCGACTTAGGACTAAGGGTCCAAGGGGTAGCAGTTAGAAATTTGATATGTTCAGCGACCCACTGTTTAGACGGAACATTTCGCTTCACAGTGCGGACCTTCCTCAGTCCGTCTGCTGATGCCACAAGGATCTCATCAGCCTCAGTGCCACGTCCTAGCCAAATCCCATCATGCCAGGCAGTGTCACTCTTTTCTTTCAGTTTCCCCAGAAGTTTGAATTGAACGCATTCCCCAAATTCACACGGTCCAGATCGATACTCTCGACCCCATCTTCTACAGTAAGCAGTCTTACCATCTGAGTGGATCATGAACCGGAGGTAATTGGGAGTGTTTCAGCAACCAAGGCTAAACAGGGTGATGCCCTTGAACGTTCAGTTTGGCACGGTCCTGCAGTTGAGACCTCAGTGTCCTTACCTGGCGTACAGTGTCTGCTGCGCTCTGCTGTTGAGCCATGCGCTTGCTCCCAGTCCTTAGGAGTGGTCCACCGAGCTCCTTGCATACCTCAGTACACAGTGCCTTGAGTGAAGGCTCCTGGTCATGCTGCAGTATGCCGTACGTCCTACCACATTCATACACAAACTTCTTCAGTGCAGCGATGCCATATTGGTGACCTCCTTTAGAAGGGACAACAGTGGACATTCCCAAACCAATTTGAATATCCGTGGCAATCAACACCGTCACAGGAGCAGCGTCTTGCTCAGTTGCAACAAAGCAGTAATCCACTTGGATCACAGGTTGCCTGTCAGTAGACAGTCGGCTGTGTGCTTCTTTCCCTTTTCCTTTCACATAGTGGGAACGCCAAGTTCGAAAGGGCAAATGTGTCAACTCGCGCGTTGCCCTCCATTCCTGTTCACCGGTGTCAACCATGACAGTTATTCGTCTCAGTGTCAAGGCTTGGCTCTTCTACCAGTGGGATGCACAGTTAATTCCGCGGTGCGTGGTGGAACCTTATCCAACACGAGGGAAGTTTCAACCAGTAATTAGTGGTTCTGGTTTGACTAGTGGTTGGATCGGGGGTGTCAAACAGCTCCATTGCCATCTGCCGAAGTTCAGGAGAATCCCAGTCCGATCTAGACCTCAGTTGTCGCTCAAGCTGGACACTCAGTTGTCCATCGTGCTCACGCAGCAGTGGTCCACGAACCGAAGAGCTTGACGACAGTTCCTCAGTTGGTCGTGCAGTTCGAGGCACAACCTCAGTTTGAGCGGTCTTCTGTCGGAGTCTCCTAGATGGTTGGATCCTTATCTCAAACACAGTGTGGCCTTTCCGGTTGGTTCAGTGGCATGTGCATTTTCTGAAGTTTGGAAATTGTCAGTCCACTCATCAGTCCGTCCATTCCCAAAGTCGAGGTACGTGGTGCGTTTGCCAGTCAAATCCTCAGCCGGGACAGGACTGAAATTCAGTACGCTCAGGAGTGAACAGTGCCCTACGTGGTCTCTTGTGAACTCTGGTCACAGTGCTATTTGCAAGATCAAGTTCCCACTCATCAGTGTGATAATAATTCGGCTTCAAAGCGGAAATCAGTTCTCCTATCTTTTCTAGTGGGTCACCACCGTCCATAGATGGTAGTGGCACGGTTGACGCGACAGAGAAATCCAATCCCTTAGAGTACTCAGTGTACAGTTGAACCACATCGTGCTCATGCTGATCATACCTGGCCAGTTGTGGAGTGAGATAGTTCGATCCAACATTCCCTCTGACAACCAGTCTCGCACTATCAGTAGTTAAATTGGCAAGCAAATAGTGCAGTTGCCGTGAGAAGCTACCAGTCCTAAGTCTCCCTCATTCAGTGCTGTCTCAGCTCGGGTGATCGCTTCATCAGTCACTTCAGTTGCACAGTTCTCGCTCTCCTCCAGTGCAGCCAAGGCCTGGGCCTGATACAGTGTGACAAACGATTTCACTTGCCAGCTCCAGTCTTGCCACTTCCGCATTGATCCGTCAAACTTATCAAGGCGGAACAAACCACCCAGTCCATCACATTGTTTCCAAATGCAGCCATCACTGCTCACAGATCTCACACGCAGTGCCCTGGCTCCAGTGCCGAGGGCTCCGCTACCATGAAAAGTAGCAGTGGGTTCATCAGTATCTACAAACAAGGTCCATGCACTCTGACAGTCTCTCAGCAGTACTCTTTCCTGTGCAGTCTTGAGCCATGCAGTTGCATGACAGTCCTGACAGTAGCGGTGCGCAGTGGGTTCAGTGTCCTTTAACACAAACAAACAAACAAACACACAAACAAACAAACAAACAAACAAACAAACAATAAAACAAGCAAACACACAACACAAACAAACAAATGCATGGACAAACACGTCCACAAACAACCAACCAAGCAACAAAATGAGCAAACAAACAAACAAACAAACAAACAAACACACACACACACAAACAAACAAACCAACAACCAACAAACACACAAACAAACAAGCAAACCAAAAAAAAAACCAACAAACACACAAACACACAAACAAACAAACAAACAAACAAACAAACAAACAAACAAACAAACACACACACACAAACAAACAAACAAACAAACAAACAAACAAACAAACACACACACACAAACACACAAACAAATAAACAAACAAACAAACAAACAAACAAACACACAAACACACAAACAAGCAAACACACAACCAAACAAACAAACAAACAAACAAACAAACAAACAAACAAACAAACAAACACACACAATCAAACAAACAAACAAACAAACAAACAAATAAACAAACACACAAACACACAAACAAACAAACAAACAAACAAACAAACAAACAAACAAACAAACAAACAAACAAACACACAAACACACAAACACACAAACAAACAAACAAACACACAAACACACAAACAAATAAACAAACAAGCAAACAAAGAAACAAACAAACCAACCAACCAACAAACAAACAAACAAACAAACAAACAAACAAACAAACAAACAAACACATAAACACACAAACACAAAAACAAATAAACAAACACATAAACTGGCAAACAGGCAAGCAAGCAAGCAAGCAAGCAAGCCAGCCAGCCAGCCAGCCAGCCATCCACAGACACAGACACAGACACAGACACAGACACAGACACAGACACAAACACACACACACAGACAGTCAAACAACCGAGCAACCAAGCAATCAAACAACCAGACAAACAAACACACAACAAAGGTACATACATGCACACGAACAAACAAACAAACCGTAAAAATACTGAAAAAGGCAAGCAAGCAAGCAAGCAAGCTAGCAAGCAAGCAAGCTAGCAAGCAAGTACGCAAGCTGCCGCAAGCAAGCAAACACAAGCAAAGGACAACACCACCCAGGCACCAGATACGTTTTGACAAAGAAACAGCAGCAGCAGCGGCGGCAGCAACAGCAGCCACCGACACCCAACACCGAAGACCACCACGACAATCACAACAAACATAAAATGAGCACCAGCCTCAGCATCAGCGCCAGCAACCGCAGCGGGAACAGCAACCCAACACAAAGCAAACAACACAACAATCACACAAATCATACATAAATAAACTAACAATCATAACTTATACATGCACGGAGAAAAACAATAACTAACCCGCAAATCAAAGCAAAGCCCAACAACTGCCCGCTCCACCCACGCGCCCATCCATTAACACGCCCATGTTGCAACCACCTGGTTTAGAGTATGCTTGGTGCTCTTGCTTTGCGCCTGCAACCCTCCGTCTGCCCTTTGAGGGTTGATCAACAAGCAAGGGCCCAACTTTTGGCCCAAAAGGATGGCCAGTATTTGTCCTTACCTTTTGGTTTTTGTGGACGCCTCATACTTTTCAGCCACTCTTTTGAAATGCCAGCAGTTCCCGAAGGGCAAGATAGATTAACCCTCGGAGATGAGGGTTACCCCACACATGGGAAACAAATGGGGGACTCTACACTTAGAGAAGAGGGGCGTTTGCTCGCCGCTTCAACCGAAAGTCTGAAACATAGACATACCCGTCCTAACAAACATGTCCTCCTTGGTGATTGTTTCAACCCTTTACCTAGGATTTGTTGCTGTCTGCCAGCATTTCGGCCAGCAACAAGGCAAGATGGTACCTGAGTCACAATCAACACCCGGTATTAAAATGGTCTATCCAGAACCATGTAAAGAATCAAGAAGGCGGCCGCAGCTATTTATGGTTAGGATTGTCCCTTACTAACCTTTATCTACCCGGGTTTTGATTGTGGCTCACCTGAACATTGACCCAGCCTTGGGGGCCCCGTGCCCGCACAATTTGTCCAACCGAAACTTCTGGAAGAATCGAACCATAACTCACCAAGTGCAGTTCCGGAAAGCCAATATGGGAGTGAATTTTGGTAAGGCACCCTTTCGCAAACATCATCTATGGGATTCCTGTCTACCAACCACAGTGTAAACCTTTTGTGTTGCCAAGCAACCAGACAGGATAAAGTCCAGGGACTCAGGGCGTGAGTGCTTCGCCCGGAGAAAAACCCCGCCGCCGCATTTGGCGCTTCAAGACTTCGGCCAAAAGGCCAGCGCCGCGCCGTGAGATCTGAGGCGTTTGGCGATGGCGCCGGCCAGCAGCCCCACGTTGGTGCCACGCCTGGTTTCTTTTTCGATCGGGCCTTGTGGTTCCCAGGTCTTGGTGCCATGAACTTGTGTCAAAAAACCGGGTGGTCCTTCCAGTGTGCCATGAACTTGTTGGGGATTCCTCTGGAACTGAGCAGGGCAAGACTTGTTTCAACAAACCCTGTTAGGAATTCTCGCGCAACTGAGCAGGGCAATGGGGGCAATGCTACTCGGCCCAACAGAGCGGGCCGCGTTAATTAGAGGGGTCTCCCGATCTGCTAGGCCCCTTGGTTCACGCTATCCCTTTTTTGGGGATTCATCGGCGTGCGAGGAAACTCTTCGGAGCTCTCAAGAGTTCCTGGGTAAAGCCTGGGCCAGGGGAGAAATTGTGGCTGCTGAATGACGAAATGGGGGCCTTCTCTCAGATTCCATGGCAAGCTTTGTGAATATCACCATGCCCGTTTGCAAAACCTGGGCTCTTCAGTGTTGGGCGAAAGACCTCACTTTTGCTACGTGGCATTTCTCAGGGAATCCGCCGGATTTGCCTGTCCGGAGTCGAAAACAAGGCAAACATGGGCGTTCTCCATCTACTCCCTTATAGACTTGCAGAAGGGTCCCCAACAAATTGCCTACGCAACTTTGCGACCCAGGCGTAATGCCTGCAGAAGTTCGCTTGGCAAGAGGCATGACTTCAAACTTCACTTGGACGTTTACACCGAAAATCCGCCAGAAGCTATCTGACGGCTCAGCCATGTGGGAGACCAGGCAAGCCATACTCATCCGAGGTGGTCCCCCCCTTGAGGCCTGGCTGGTTGTCGTATTTCGGATGAATCCGAAATCAACATTGATACTTGGGCTTGTGCACTTTCAGGTTGGCTTAAAGGGACAAAAACAGGACCACAATTTGTGAGGTCCTGTATTTTGACAGCCACCCACATTTTGCCATGGGCAAGCGCGTGGCTTCACTTAGTCGTGGACCGCAAACATAGATTCAGTTTTCCTTTTGGCTTCCCTTAACCACAGCCCAATCCATGGGAAGCGAGCCGTTAGATCTCCCTAGAGTTTCCTTATTGCACGCCGATGAATCTAAAACCATGATATCGTTCACAAAGCGGTGCCTACCCGGTTCATTTGAAATAAGTTCATGGCACACAGACCTGGGACGCAAAGGAACAAAATAACTAGGCTGGAACTAGGACCCCAACAAAAAGTTAGCTTTTTTGCCTGGTTCGTGGAAAACAAAGGGACCCCAAAAAAGCAAAAAGAAAAAAAAAGAAAAAAACAAGAAGGGAAGCTAATTCTGGGGTAGATAAGGTGGGCCCCCCCCAACCCCCCCCCCCCCCCGCAACCTTTTGTCACAGGGATCCTTACATTCTACACCTGAACATTGCCTTGTCAATGGTGGTTTCCCCCTATTGTGGTGTTGAAAAAGAAACATGTTTCAAATGGTTGCAAAATGCTTGGTTGACGTCGAAAGGGGAGCAACAATTTAACATCTTAGCAGCTAAGTGGGGATTTCAACCACTAAACCACAAAAAGCAAAAATGGAGAAAAAGTTTCCCAACAAGAACCATGAATGTGTCTTCCAAGGAGCCCCCTGTGTCAGAAACTGAAGCCTCACCACCCTTCCGGGTCCCGGGCGCTACTCGGATCTCCCCCTGCACGGGAGGCGGAAGGCCTGACGCGGCGGTCAGGGCGCCCTCACTTGGCCGTGGGCTTCTCGCCCCCAATTTTCACCTCCGATTATCTCTCCAGCCACAAAATAGGAAGCAACTAAAATGGGTGGACTCACCGAGAACGCCCGAAACGGTTTGGAAGGGCCCCTTGAATTGGGGCTCAAACCTCAGCCAGTCCAAAGCAACCTGAGATATCAGGTTCACCGGTGGCTGAGAACTGTATCGGGCCCCGAAACCGAAATGGTGACCTGAGAGGTGGTTCCAACTCCTAAATCTCATAGCCAGTTGGGCCATGGATTCTAGGGGTTGGGCATAGCCCTTGCAACCCATGGGTTCAACACCTGCTTTTCTTTCAGCTTAAGCAACCCAAGTGAAGGCTCGGGCCATGTGATTTCTTCTTTGCGCTAAGCCGATTCGTCACCCTCCCCTTTGAACATGGAAGCTCCCAGGCCCATGCAATGCACCCTTTTTGGATCGTTTTGCGGCCCCAAGCACGTCTCGAGAGCACAAAAGCTCGATTCCACAACCCATACCCACGCGCTTCCTGAACAAACCACCGGGCTTGCCCAGAACACAATGCTCTGCGCTAAGTAGCCAAAAAGTAAAGCTGCACGTTTCTTGTCCGCCTGTCGTGCAGCGGACACAGAGTTGCAGACCCCGCCGCTCGCCCACATCCTGGCGGGCCAACTTGTTGCGCGGTTGAAACCTGCTGGTTTGATCAACCCTTTGGTGTCCCCTAGAAAACCCGGTTCCCTTCCAAACCCACCAGAAGCTTCCTGCCTGGATTGAAAGAAGGTTGGCGTTCCGCAATACCCCATAATTCTGTTGTAACAATGTGTTGTGGCAGCATCCCCGAATCTTGTGGCATTTTGGGGCAATACAACAATTGTGTGGCATCATCTGTGATTCTAGAGCAATATCCAATAATGTTGGGCGCATTGCCCCTAAGCAACACCCCACAATACCCCATAAATTTCGGGCGCCTTTCTACTGTTTGCACAAAATGTGCTCGAATCTTCTGTGAATGAACCAGGGTCACAAAGTGACTGATTGCAAGCTCATGCAAGAAAAGACCATGTGGATTCCTACGGCCCACTCCCATCGGACGAAGACTCAAACTGCGTCGGCAAAGGTGCAAGCAAGGCTACTTTATATCTTAGACCCCAAATTATGGGGTATTGCTCGAAACTATGGGATGTTACACCAAGACTATGAGGAACTGCCACACAATTATCGGCAGTTAATGGAGTATTGCAATACCCCATACCTGCTCATGCTTGGCTCGCTTGGCTACTTAGAGGAGTTGGGCTAAGATCTCGTGATTGTGAGCAGCGTGCAATGCCGAAACTGCCGGCGCCATTGGCTGTTTTGCCATCTCGCCGCGCTGAATTGAGCACAAAGCGAGTTGCTTCATTTTTGAATAAATTTGGTGATACCCTACAATCGTGGGGCAGTGCCACGTAATTCTGAGCAATCGTGGGGCAGTGCCACGTAATTCTGAGCAATACCACATAATGTCAGGGCAATACCACAATTTTGCGGCAATACCAACTACTTTTGGGGCGATACCCTCTAATTTTGTTGGCAACACCACTTTCTTCTTTGTTCCGGGCAATACCACATAATCTTGGGGCAACACCCTATAATTCTAAGGCAGGGCAATACCACGTAACTTTGGGGCAATACTGCAGAAATGTAAGGCAATACCACGTCATTTGGGTGTAGTACCCCATGAATTGTTGGGCAGTACACAATATGTTGGAGGCAATACCCCCATAATTTCAGGGGCACCACCCCTGCCATTTGAGGCAGCAGCGCGGAAAATTTTCCGCCAGCCTCCCGCCTCTCGGGGTTCATCGAGCACCCGGCTGGGGCTCAAGGCCAAGCGACATGGATCCCTGGCAGAGGCTCTCAAGTGCACGCCCTCCCAGCCTTTTCTCGGTTGCTTTCCCCGAAAAGTGAATAACTTTTACAGTAGTGGCTTCATACGGAAAACCCAGAAGGTTGGCAAAACGTGAAGGTCCTGGCATCCCTTGGCAAAATGCCGCAAAGTTTTCACATGGAACCTGACGTCCGGAGGGTGCTGGAAGAGAATTTTCCCTTTAAATGGGCCATTTCTCTCTCAAAGTCGCGCCGCCCATAAACATCCATCAGGCCTTTATACAGTAAGGGTGCGGGAAAAGCGAAGGAAAAAACATGAACAAAAACAAGTTGTTCTTCCTTTTTTTTTTTAACATCCATACAGTAATTGCACTTTTACCCCCGACGGGATGAAAGGCCAAATGAGTCCCTTTGAAACCACTCTAACGGTACCCTCAAAAAAGACACACTCATTTGAGTGTTCTTGAGAGGGTATTGCTCTTTTGGTTGGTTCAAAAGGAAACCGAAAGGAAGCCGAAGCCATTCCTTCCTTTCGGGGGTACCTTTTATTGGATTGGTTTCAAGGGAAACCACATGTAAAACTCGCAGATTTTGAGGGCTGCCACTAATCTGAGATACACCCAAATCGGGGACATGGACTCTTTGTCTTGGAACTTTCTCAAGTTAAAACATGTCAAAAGCCCGGAAGCTCCTTTTGGAAAATGCCGCCGCCCCCAGCGCGCCAAGGTTTTTGCCCAATCATCTCCTTCTCTTATATTCTTTGCACTTCTGCCACGCGAAGCCTTGGGGCCAGATGCGTCATGATGCGCAGAGCTCGGCAAAAAAGTTGCCGACGATGGCGGTAAGCAGACTAAACCATCCGAGGGCTGGATATTGGCTGAAATCCTTTGATCCGAGCGTTTAGTCTGCTTACCACCAGTGGCGGTAAGCAGACTATATGAAAAGAAGCAGTTTCGGGGAAGTGCGCCTTTGTGAAAGCTGCAGTTCCGCAATTGGATGAAAACGCAAATTCGGAAATCTGACTACACATTTTCCTCTTGGAGTTACGACCCTGCAGCTGCGCCCTTGTGACCCGGCAAGCTCTCAGATGCGTGGCACGGCGCCCCGGGCCGTTCCGCTGCGTGAGCCCAACTTGAACATCCCGCCCAGCAGGGTTCAGCAAGGTTTCGGGCGTTGCCGCCGGCCAGCGCTTGGCGATCTTTGAAGCGATGCAAACATAGGGAGAACAATTGCGGAAGCGCTGCGTCCGACCCCCGTTTCAGCCAAGTGACCTGAAGCCCCGCCAAAGGCAGGTTCCAGGACACTTGCAAAAACCCAAGGTGGAAGCGCTGAGCTGTGGGCCATGCGCCTGCAGCACGTCTCTTTTTCATAGGAGACCGCAGTAACGCCTTATGTCTCAAGTAGTTTGGCTTGCTTTCTGCGAATTGGTAAACAGAGAGGAGGGCCAGCCCCTTGCCCCGCCGGGTCCCGCGGTTGAGCGTGCAGGTTCGCAAGCCCCGGCGTAGGACCCTGCGCGCCGGGTCATGCAGAATTCGGCAGAGTGCAGTTGTGCGTGCAGATTTCTGGTGGTTCCGTTGCTCTTTCTAATTGCGGTTTTACGCAATATTGCGCGCTGCTATGCGCAACCATACACCTGACAATCTGCTCAGCGATGCCCTTGCACTTTGGGGGCCGAACTGTTAGCGTTGCAACCAACTGCGACGGAGCGCACGGAGTGCACGGAGCACTCATAAGCATGCAGGAACACGCGCGTGGCCGGAGCGCCCGGGGCGCCCGGTGGCTGGAGCGCATGCCACCGTGGCATCGTCTCCAGCATGGAGCGCGGGCCCGAGCCCATCGTGCGGGAGAAGCATGCAGGGCGGTGTGCTTGGGGTTCCGGGGTTAGGGCTCGGGGGGCTTTTCAGCCCAAAAACATTTGATTTTATTGACGTAACCCCCCTCCGCAATTTTATTTAAGGTAGGGGGATGGGTTAACATAAGTGGCACTCGAAGGTCAATGTGACCTGAGCAAGAAACCAGACCCCCACACCAACGCAACCTTTGATCCTCCTCATTCAAATCTGATCGACGTACTACGTGCAGACATAATTAAAGGGACAACTAGTGCCTACTTTCACCCTGGTGTGGTGTATATGCGCCCTCTGTCTTCCCTTCCTGTGCCTCCAGCCGCCATTGTTCAACGAAGCTTCTGCGGTCAGGATAGATCTCACAACCTCCACTCCGCGCACGTCTCCGGCCACTCGTGGGGAACCAGAAGCGGGTTTGAGGCAGCAAATGGTCTGAGTGGCTTGGGTGAAATGGCCAGCCGGCTTGCAACCAGCCATTCACATTCAAAGACACTTCAAACCAAGCTCAGGCTTGCTGATATTTGTTTACATCCGGAGCATCCCTGTTGTATCCTTTACCGAACATGATCCCTTGAGAAGGGGTTGGATACTGCTTGGGTTGTTTGGGCCGTTTCCGGAAATATGGGTGGCAGGGGAAGTTAGGCCCGGCTTCAACCTTTCTGAGGAATTGTGGATTGCATCATTCTAGGGGTACCTTCCCCATGTTTTACAGGCATCCTTCTTTCTAAAAACCACCCAGACACGGCTGTTTTTTGAAAATCACAATGGTTGAAAAGAATGGGGAATCAACCCCTAGAATCATGGCAACTTCCCCTCAGGGACAACCCACAAATGCAATGCACAACCCGTGGCGGTGTTGCAGCAGATCAAGGCACGAGGCGGCTCCTGGTATCTATCCCTGCAAAACCAGCTGAGTCACACACACACAACCCGGTAATGAGCGTCCACCCAAAACCCATGGTGAAGAATCAATCGGGCGGAAAGCTGTTCGCAAATATCTATCCCAGTGGGTCCCAGTGGGTCCCAGTTACCCTAAATAGTAGATAATCAACCAATGTCCTTTTGCTTTTTTAAGAGGTGGTTCCCCTTTGGCAAGTGATCCACAGGATATGGCAAGGGGACTCTCCCATCTCACGATTCCCTTTGGCGACTCCAAGGTCCGCACTGTCTTGATCGCGTTGGTGCCGGTCACTTCAACCATCAACTTCTGAGCGTCCTCACGATTGCCAAGTGGATTCGCCTCAACAATCTCAGAAAACAAAATCACGCAAAAGAAGCTTCCGCGTCAACCAGGAAGTTGACACCTTCTGAGGGATGTACTTGAGAGCCAAAAAGTGGGCAACTTACATCATGACAAGGTACCAAGAATCCTGGAATATGATACTGAGGCCTAACAAATTTCATGGGTGACCTCGGGCGCCAAATCCAAGTCCTCAATTCGATTTGCCCAACAAGCACGTGCTCTGTTCCCCAAAACCTTAAGCCTCATGCAGTCTCTCCGAACACAAGTCCGAAGAATGACATTGGCTGGATCTGCGTGGTCTTTGTTCTACGATGCAGACCTTAAACAATCACAATCAACGGACTGTTCTGAGACTAAATCCACATGAAATTACACACACATGCCCGCCAAAGTGGTGCTTTGCAGCCCCAGCGCCCCACATCCTCAACACTGGTGCCGTCTATGATGCCCTTTGCGCGTTGTCCAATGCGTGAGGTTTCAGCCAAAGAACCACCAACTGGTCTTCCCAAAAAGCCTCTCCCTATTGGATAAGCTGTTCGAATATGTCAGACCCAACCTCGCGTGAGGTTGTCTGGATGGCAAGCCGCAGATATCAATTGCCAGCATGTCTGAGTTTGCGGCATAGCGCTCAAACTGCCGTGTCCAACATTAGGTGACCCTGAATGACATCCAACAAATACGCTCCAACAAACAATGGGTTCTAGGATCATGATTGTCCTTTGGTACAAGCTGGAACCTGTTAATTACAACCCGTTTGGAGTCCCCTAAAAACAAACCTGTAAGCAGCGAAGAAGCATACACATACGACGCATCAGGCGATGTATTGACGCGCTGATTTGGATGTGCAAGCTTGCTGCGAAGTCTCAATCTGGATCGTTTGCATTGCTCTACTGAACATTGCTCAGTTGCCCAGATCTCTCGTGAGGGACAAACCAGCTGCAAGTCGCGGGATTTGTGTCCACATCCGCGGCATCGGCGAATTCGGCGAATTCGTAAGCTGTACAGTCGGACGCAGAGATTTGTGGGCACCAAATCTGAGAAGGCACAAAGTCAACCCCTGAGACAACGTAGCAACAAAAGTACTGAACCTGGCCAAACTTAGAACCCTTAGCTTTTCTCACATTTACTTAATATATTCTCTATAGTGAAAGGCTTTGTTGCCAGCGAGCCTCCAGCCCACTAGTGGCCCATACCCAAAGTTCTTGTAACAAATGGTCAAAACCACGTCCACGTCGGCAATGGCATGCGCCCAATGTTCCACGACAATTCCCACCACTTCTCAGGGCACATTTGTGTAGTCAATAGCCGTAAATGCCACAAGCCGTGCGGCTTCCCTCGAAAGATCGTATTTGGTTTCCCTTGGGAGGTCGTGATTGTGGGGGTAGTGGGAATCATCTGAGGGCCTTGGTGCCTGTGCAAATGTTTGTTTGATCAGGAAATATACCCACAACAGTCTCCCAATCATTATGCCCGACACCGAAAAACGCCCAACTAGCAAATTTATGCTACGAAACACCCAAGGGACACACATTTATGTAACGAATGAAGGCCCAGGAAGTTAAAGATCCAACCAACAATAGCAGCGAAGTCAGCCACGTGATCATCCCCTTCGCAAACCGCATCGTATCAAATGACTGCGGCCCTCAGTTTGAGAAGGGTGCCACACACGCATGCAGAGGAGGCCACCAAAACTAAGCCATGCCTTCCCATGTAGCGCAAGGCCCAGAAAAGTCACACGGTCATCTTAAGCAGCTCCTTAAGTTTCTTGCCTTGACAGGCCCCAGTAATATGGTTGTGGGCCGTGGCTTCACGGACATTATGATTTGTTCGCCACATGCGAAAATGTGGGTGGGGCGCGCGAGCTTTCAACAGGACCCCTATGTCATCGTACGAACTAAGAATAGACTACCAGTTGTTGTTGTCAGTTGTGGGGCAGCCCCGTGAGAGGTTTGTTTGGGTTCCCTTGATGTCTACCAATGAGTTTGTCACTTGCTCATATTTCTTGGTCAGCCGATAGGAATTCATGGCTTCCGGCCAAAGGCGTCCCGAATTACGGTCGCAGGAAGCCGACGAAACCGCTTTGGCGGCCAAGCGGAAGGCTTCAACTCGCGAAAAAGGGCGTAAAAGGGCAGCAAGATGCAAGCAACGACCTGCCTCAGGCTGGAAGTCAAAATTACTGCTTGAGGTGCGGGTCTTGGTATATGCATTCTGTCTCAGCTGTTTCAGCGTGTCTTCCAGTTGCTTGGAAAGACATGCGCTCACCTCAAGTCTTGAACAGCTCTGACCACATGTGGAGCTTCAGTCAGTCATATGGTAGCTCCGGGCACCTCTATAGAGCCAAGCTTCAGGCAAGCATGGGCGGTGCCAATTTGTCACTCGCCAGACTCGCCTCCGAGGGTGCTGCAAGATGCCTCTCCAAGTACTTGAAGTGATTCACGATGAGCTTCTGCAAATCCACGATGTCCTCAAACTTAGGAGTGACTTAAAATAAACCACTCACAGCTTCTAGATGTAACTCGAAACAGCACTGGCAATAAGGGCCAAGCGCTGAGGGAGCTTCGGTGCTTCACATAGTACAAATGCCTTTCCTCCCACAAAAGGTAGCACCTGTGGGAGGATACCTGGGTTCCTGTTGAAGGGACCCCCTGAAATGCACCTAGAGGGAGGGTATCCAAGAAAGTCTCACAGGTGACGTCGGTCTTCTTGTCAAGTCGCTCTTCCCGGAACAGTTTGTTTCCTGCCAGATGCGTGAGGCAAACACATTCCGCTGTCTCTGCTCCTTCCCGTCGCCCAAAAGGTGTTTGCTCCGATTGCGTTTATGCATGTGTGCTATTGTTGGAAGCGGACATGGGCAGATCCAACCACCAGGGACACGTTTGTCTTTGCGACCACTTCCCCGATAACATGTCAGAAAACAACCTGCCCGTGTCCATACCCCTTCGAACCCACAAACATGCAGCAGCCAGTCCCAACGGTACAAGCAAATAGAACGACCGTCAGGACGTCCCAACTCCATCGCGTTTTCGAATCTCAAGGTACGCCACAACAAGTGGAGTAGGAAGCTCAGGAAAATACGCATCTGGTAAGGAGTAAGAATGGATGTTTGTGTTCCACCCACCAACATCCACATACACAAACCCCATCTGAAAGACTGTTGACGGTCTGGCGCCCGTGGACTTCCTTTTCTTGTTGACTGTTGTTTGTGAGGGTACTCTTCTGTTTTGACACACCCATTTATTTGACGGGTAACCCCTACAGGCGCTCCTCGAGGAAAAACACATAGCGCTAGGCTTGAAGGGCCAACAGGGGGGACCAAGGGAAACCCAAGCCAAGTGCACTGGAAATCCGTTGAGCTACGAAAGAAGTATTGGAAGAACTTACAATAGCTGTTGGATGTTTTGACGGAGGTTAGCACTCGGAGAAAGTTCTCAGAGGCGGCAAAGAATATACCAGGGACAACAGCATGTTCCAACCTGGTCTGAAATGGAACACATCGCCTTGGCGAGGGGAGTCGGGGGGGGAGCAGGCTAGCATTGAACAGGGGATCCAGGCCCCAGCATCCAATAAGGACCAACATCTAGTAAGGAGCCACCTCAGAAGTGGTGGAACATCGGTGGACATAACCAAAACAATCAGGAAAATCATTCCAAAGGTTTTTGAGACGTAGTTGGTGGACATGAACAAACTCACCTGCATGAACTCCAAACGTCCAAAAAGGAGCCCATACTCTCTCATCGATTAACATGGAACCCCCCCGGACCCCCGAACGTCAGGTTCCGTGTTCATTGGTGGGAGGGGAAATTTCACACCTCGGCAATCCCGTTCGCTCTCATCCCCTCCTTCACCGTGGCGGTATTGCTCCCCCGCAGCTGTAGCACCGCCTGAGATTTTGGTGTTGCTAAATGGAGCCCCGAGAGGAGACCCACCCATTTTTGGGTGTGGGTTAGGGAAACCAAGAGGAAACGATATTCATAATTCATTTGTTCTTTCTCTTTTTTTGTGTGTGGGGGGGGGTGGGGGCGCAACCAAATGAAACACCAACAACATAGGGAACACCGACAAAATAGGAAGGTTTCTTCTAAAGAAACACACTCTTCTGAACCCAGCCATCCAAGTTAAAACCAATGCCCGCGTTTGAAAAGAACGACGGCTCAAGACAATGGGGAACCAAAATAAGCGTCCTCCTTCCAAAAGGGGTCTGCACACTTACATCTTGCCTTTTCCCAGAAGTGCGGCTGAAAATTTGTCGGGCAGGCACATTTGTTGTTCCCTTTCCAAATACTGAAGCAGGTTCAGTGGAGGGGGGTTGAGCTGGTTTCCGTTTGGGCACCAGCAGTGGGGATTCTCCAAACGTTGGACCTGCATGAAAAGGTCATTTGGAACCACCCAACGTCGTTGAAACCAAACACCTTAGCTAGCGAAGGCAAAAACAAACGCAGGATGACAAAAGTTCGCGGCTTTCATTCAATGGTCCTGACTCCGCTGCTTGTGTCTCGCTCAACTTGTCAGCCAAGTTGAGTTCCAAACGGGTTGCCTCAAGATCCCCCCTTCCATTCTGAAGTCTTCGGGCAAATGAAACCATCAATCTCAGGGGCATCCCTCCAATTCCAAAGGGCGCTTTGAGGCAAAGGCCACATCCAAAATCTGGCACAGTCGACTGGGTCTCGGCATGTGAGTTGTGACTGCTTGATTTGCTAGGACACACTTTAAGGGCATCGGCTTGAAAGGGAAACCACTCAAAAACCAAACCTTTTGGAGGTTCCCCAGTTGGGGATTATCGGGAAAGCGGTCATAGTTTTTATCTGGGAAGGTATGGGTTTCCCCCACCCTCGCGAAAGAGGCCTCTGAAAGGGGAGTTCTCAGGTGACCGCCCCGCAGACATTAATGTTGACCCAGGAATAATAAACCCGTACTACAAGGGGGCACCCCGCTATTAATCAACCAGGGGTTTGTTAATCCGGGGTTAACATTAAACAAGACATTTGATCGCTGGTTGGTTTCCTAAGCGGACAATTCGTTCTTCAACTCCTGCGGTGTTCTGAATGGGAAGTCGCATGGAGTCACAGATCTTGCAGTCAGCCGGGCAAGAATGCGCCTTCCACGGACTGCCCAAGTCAAGCACAGGTCATAGCCGAAAACCTCACAGCGCCATTCATCTTGTCCAGTTCGTTGAACCCTGCACTGCCCCCTTGCTGCGTGTGACCACCCAGGTGAGCGTTTGGCAACCGAGGCCCCGATTGGTCGAATTTCACAGGGCAGCCATACCCAAAGCATTCTCACGGCTTTCTCCAATGAGTCCATTGCAAGTCACGACCCTTGTCATTCGTGGCTGCCCTTTTGGTCACTCGTGGGTCTTCGCAGGAGCAAGCACCGAGCTGTCCAAGTTCAGTCGAGTCGCATCCATGAAGGCGGCGAAGGAGAGCTCGTTCTGTTGGTCAAAGATGAAATCTGCCTTCATGTGGCGCAAAATGAAACCCTCTGACTGGGATATGTGAAATCCTGTAGTGGGATATGCCATAGATACATCAGTTATAAACAGATTCAAGTCCAAGATGTGTAAGCACAACATATTTACAGGAGTATGTGATATGTATCAAGTCCCAGATCCAAAAGTCCAATCAATCCATTCTTGTGCGGCATATGTCATAAATCCAGACAACCAACCCACGAGTCTAAAGGTTTAAGGTATCTTGGTCCAAGCAAAATACACGGGGCACCCAACACATGTTGAGCTTCTGCTTCGTGCTTAGCCCACCTTGAAAAATTATAGCCAAAAAACCGCAGGAGACCGGGAAATGTCTTAGCTCCCTACGTAGACATATTTTGTGGCGGGATGCGTCATACGTCCCTCATCCTTTGGGGTGGGGCCCCTTAGTCTTCACGCCGTGGACCATAGGAAATGGGTGGCTCAACTTGCAGGAAGGACCCCTCAAAAAATGGCTTGCTTTGATTTTCCTTTGGGTTTTCCATTTAACTCCAACCAAAACGGTGACCAAGTGGGTGGGGGGTTCAACAAAAAAGACAAGCCCATCGCGAGTTTTTCAAGAACCGAGCTACGAGGTCCACCAAGGCAAAGACGTCCACCCCGACGTCGCTCAAGGTCCGGACGCAGGTGGGATTCGTCAGCATCTGATCGAACTCGCGGCGGGAGATGCTCCCATCGCCATCCTTGGCGATGGAGAAAACTGCGCTCAAATCCGTGGACTTCCATGGAAAAACATATGTTGTTGTCGTTCTTGTGGTAGATGAGCTTGAAGGGAAACCCGCACACAACAACAGAACAAAGGGCACCACTGGAACTCTAGAACCCAGAAAAGCAAAACCTAAAAATACTTTTCGGCGCAACTCCATGAGGTACTTGCGGACCCACAGGCTGCCCATTTGATGCCCAATGGCCTGGATCCCTAAACATGGGAAACCAAGACCAAGCTGGAGGTCTAACACTCAGGTGAGGTGGTGAGGTACACGAGAATCCCCCCACTTGGAAGGGACCGAGCCGAGACCTCCCGTGGTTCTGTGGGTAAGCCCCATGCGAAGAGCATGCTCAGAAACCCAGCGGCCGTGGGAATGAAAGGCTACCTTCGCTTGTTGGTTGAGCTTACAAGCAAACCCTTGCAAGCTAAAAAGAAAAAATAAGGAAAAAAGGAGAAAAATCGAAGAAAACAAAAAGAAGTACATCCCACTGGGCAACTGGGAGATGCCAGCACCCTGCAGAGGGGTTCTGACAGACGGGTGCTGCTGCACGAGCGGACTCAGTTCGACAGATCCGGATCTGGTCATGAGGCAAGACACAAGTATGCTGGCGAAACCCCACGGACATGGGGATGTGTCAAAATGTTGCCCTCCCACCAACAAACATAGAAGTGCACAAACCCCCTTTCCAAGAGGAAAGTAGTCTTTCTACGGGGGTCCGTGCACTTCCATGTTGGTCGGTGGGAGGGCAACGTAAGGTGAAACCCTCCAAAACACGCACGCGCACACACACAAGCACGAGAAAACTGGCCTCCCCAAACCAACAGGGCTGGATTTGTGGGTAAGCCGAGGTCAAGACTAACATTTCTTGAGAGGGTTCCTTACATTGGTTGTCCAAAATGCCTTTGAGGCATTCATCGCCATCCCTAAAAATCTGATCCGCAAGCGTCCGTAACCCGGACACTCTGAAAAGGGAAGCCTCCACCGTACAACCCTCAAGCTACCCTTTCAAGCAGCAACACACTCCCCAAACATTTTGGGCCAGCTGGAACCATCATTGGTGGAGGCACCTGGATCCAGTTGTTGGGGGAAACCCCATTCTCTCGGCCAGCAACGGAACAAAAAACAACGCTCCCCTTTTCCTGGGGTCCAAAAAAGCAACGGCAGGCATTCCTTCACCGTTTGGGGGCAAAAAATGAGGCTGGTCAAAAATTTGGTTCCAACATGGAACCCTGGTAAGTGGAGAAGTAGATTGAAACCTGCGTGACCCTGGTGGGGGCCAAATCAGCTAGCCGAGTTCGAGGGCTCCACCGCCGCATTTGCTCAGCGCCCCAGGGCCGCGCTGTCCTTGGCCGCCCGTCATGCCGCGTCCGAGGCGCTTCATCGGCTTGGGTCTCCAGCAGCAACTGCTTCAACAGCGACTTCACGGACTTCAGGAGGATCTCCTCCGGCTTTTTCTGTCGACCCGCTCGAGGTGGTTTTTTTTGGGGCTCCCCATAAACTTTAGGTGAAATGGGGGGGGAGGGGAGGGGTTCTGTCTTTTGCACTTTCTTTTTTTTTGGGGGGGGGGGCCATTACATAAACCAGGTGAAACGGTGGTTTGTCTTCTTGTGAGGCATACGACACTTTTGGGTTGTTGTTTAGGTTGAAACAAACCGGAAGCTACAATCTCTTGTCGCGGTTCCCAATTTTGACACCCACATTGTGAACAAAAAACGGATCGACCGGCAGGCAGGGCGAACCCAAGGTTGTTTAAACCATGGTTTGAAGCAGGGTGTCACAAGTACCCAAAAGGAGGTTGTTGAAACAGTGCAGTTTAAACTTGGGCCCATCTGAGTACTCGGTTGCAGCCAGCAACCACAGAGAGGGACACCCTTTTGTAATGGGCATGTGCCATGAGGCTTAATCCGTGGCTTGATTCTCATTGACTCCCTGCGACCCGCAAACTGGGAAACTCGCGGACCGTCCCCCATGATTGTTTCCCTTGCACCTACTACAAGTAAGGTCCGGCAGAGCCGGGGGGCGGAAGCTTCAGAGCAGTGAACAACCATAGTTTGGAGAACTGTTCTTGGCCTGCTTCTCTCTCTCTCTCCCTCCCTCTCTCTCTCTCGCTCTCTCTGTCTCTCTCTGTCTCTCTCTGTCTCTCTCTGTCTCTCTCTGTCTCTCTCTGTCTCTCTCTGTCTCTCTCTGTCTCTCTCTGTCTCTCTCTGTCTCTCTCTCTGTCTGTCTCTCTCCTCTCTGTCTCTCTCTCTCTCTCTCTCTCTTTCTCTATGTGTCTAACTATCTATCCATTTACCTATCTATCTATTTACCTTTCTCTATCTTTCTCTATCTATCTATGTATCTCTCTATCTATCGATCTATCTCTCTCTCTCTCTATCTATCACTACTACCTGTCTCTCTCTCTCTCTCTCTGTCTCTCTTTCTCTATGTGTCTAACTATCTATCTATCTATCCATCTATCTATCTATCTATTTACCTTTCTCTATCTTTGCGAGAAAGCTGCGCCTGCCAAGAAAATTGTAATTCACCTTGCGATGCTGCGCCTGGCACGAAATCTATACTTGACCTTGCGAAAGTGCTGCGCCTGCCAAGAAATTTGTAATTGACCTTGCGATGCAGCGCCTGGCACGAAATCTATACTTGACCTTGCGAAAGTGCTGCACCTGCCATGAAATCTATACTCGACCTTGCGAAAGTGCTGCGCCTGCCACGACATCTATACTTAACCTTGCGAAAGTACTGCGCCTGCCACGAAATCTATACTTGACCTTGCGAAAGTGCTGCGCCTGCCACGAAATCTATACTTGACCTTGCGAAAGTGCTGCGCCTGCCACAAAACCTATACTTGACCTTGCGAAAGTGTTGCGCCTGCCATGAAATCTCTACTTGACCTTGCGAAAGTGCTGCGCCTGCCACGAAATGTATGCCTGACCTTGCGAAAGTGCTGCGCCTGCCACGAAATCTGCACTTGACCTTGCGAAAGTGTTGCGCCTGCCGCGAAATCTTTACTTGACCTTGCGAAAGTGCTGCGCCTGCCGCGAAATATATACTTAACCTTGCGAAAGTGCTGCGCCTGCCACGACATCTGTACTTGACGCTGCGAAAGTGCTGCGCCTGCCAAGAAATCTGCACTTGACCTTGCGAAATTGCTGCGCCTGCCACGAAATCTATACTTGACCTTGCGAAAGTGCTGCGCCTGCCGCGAAATCTATACTTGACCTTGCGAAAGTGCTGCGCCTGCCACGCAATTCAAACCTTGCGAAACCTGCGCGCGGCCGTGCCAATGGTCACATCTCCGAACCCGTTCCGGGACCGTTCCGGGACCGTTCCGGGACCGTTCCGAGACCGCCTACATACAGGCGTCGCGACCAAGGTGGTTTCCCAAACCCTCTAAGATTGAAAAAACCATTCTTGCGCTTGGTTTTCTGCATTTTTCATGGTGCTCTTGAAATCTTGGTTTAAGGCTAATTTTCCATGATTGTGATACTGAATTGTGATGATTTCAATCTCGGACTTCATAGAATATTCAAAGCCCGCGCTTGAAAAATGACTTTTGGCAATATTGAAATTGATGAGTATGCACAGGGCCAAAATGGCTGAAATATGCCATGCTCAGGCTCGTAGTGAAATGAGTTTGAGAGGCTGCGATATGCATCCCAGCAAAGCATTCCAGCCCATGTGCTCAGAAAGAACATCATATGCTATTGGCATGTGTTGGATTGCATGGGGGAATCATTTGTTTCAGGATCAAGCCTGCCTATAGGTAGTTGCCTGCAATCCCGCCATGGGGAAGTTGGGTGTCAGCCAGAAGCACCATGTGAAAAAGCATACGGTGAAGAGGTTGCCCACACCAACTTGCAGCAAAGCCTTGCTGGTCAACAACCTCATAGAGCACACCAAGAAAGAAGGCACCTCCAAAGCTTTCAGCTTTGGCTGCTACAAGGGGGTGCTGTTGAACAATGCTGTCAAAGGTGCTGGCTTGCTGGCATTGGAGGCATTGATCATGTCTTTGCTGGCTGTCAGCAAGAGTGGCCTGTTCAATTACACAGATCTCAAAGAGGCTGTGAAAGAATGCAGCAACCAATTCCCAGTTTTGTCAGACAGGGGCATGTCCTTGGACAGATGGGCAGGGTGGGTGGCAAGCAGGATCCTGGTTGTGATGGCCCACCTCAGAAGGGTCAAGAACAGCAAGGTGAGGATGAGGCAAGCCCAGAGCAGCCTGACAGAGAAAGAAAAGGAGCAGTTAGAGCAGCTTGCAAGGCTGGTGCAAGACTTACCCTACAAAGGGACAAGCACCAGCACTCTTGGCACAGAGAGCATGGCTGAGTCTGATGTGGGCCTTGACTTTGAAGCACTGGCTTGCAGCCCTGTGCCTGCCAAGGAGGCAGCAAACAAGAAGAAGATGGCAAAGGCTAAGGCCAAGGCTCTTGCCATTGAGGAAGCATGCTCAGAAGGCAGTTCAGGCCATTCTTCCACGGAACCTGCTGCTGAGGGAGAAGGCTGCTCCAAGATCTACCTGACCAAAGCCAAAGGCAGGACATACCTACAAGTTTTGGAGGGTGGCAAAAAGAAACACTTGGTTTGCATCAATGAGAAAAGCAGAGCAAGTCCCACTTCAAGATCATGAACAAGATCAAATCCACCATGGAGGAGATGGGCAAGCTTGACCAGGGGACGGCAGTGTCCCTGAGAGATGCTTTGCTTGCATAGCAACATAGTGCCTGCAGGGCAGCATTTTGGGGCGCAATGCACCTTTCATGCTGGGTGCAAGGGGGGGGGGCTAGCATTTCTGCAGTTTGGAGCCAGAGCCTGCACATGGTGGAAAATGTGTCAAGCTTGCTTTGGCTGCGTCCTTGGATTTAATATATACTCCACAATGGTGGCAACTGTTTTTGTTGCAGGCTGAAACATGCCTAAAGAACAGGTGCAGTGCACCTAAACATGAGCTGGGAAAAATTGCCTACGAGGACAGGATGAGCATTGCTTGAAAAATAGGCTGGGAGATGCCTTGATGTGCAGGCTGTAACATGCCTGATTAAGTAGGCTAGACGATGATTGATGGAAATGGCCATGGCAAAGTGGTTTTTTCAATGCTGCTAGGTAGGTTACACAAGTGTGTGGCTGGGAAAAGGCTGAAACATGCCTCTAAACAAGGTGAAGCCCTTGGACCTTTTCCAATCTTGCTTTGTGCGCTGCAAGGCCAGCAAGGCATGAGGGCAGCATGTATGCTCAAGTACTCGAACTGCACGCCATCCAGGAGTCAGCCATGTCGTGGGGCAAGGGCTTTGGATGGGATGAGGATTGGCACCAGCCTTCCTGGGGCAAGGGCAAGGGGAAGTACAAGGGCTACTACCCCCAGCCCTATGGCATGAACCATGGCAAAGGTGCCAGGAAGCTGAGGACTGTCCTCAGAGGGGCCTACAGTGAGGATGATGCCAGCAGCCCCTTGGCTTGAACAGATGGTTGCTTGAACCTGTGTGGCCATTTTTTCCAATGTGCAAAGAAACGATTTAAGGCAGCCATAGAGCACAACAGCTAGCTTGTCATTTTTGTTAAAGCAATTGTGGATGGGAGCACTCTTGGCATGTCTGTGCATTTTTCTGCATGATCAGCAGCTTGGTGAGGCTACATGAGTTTTCCAGAGTGGATGGATGAGCAGGGCTCCCTGCCTGTGGTGATCAACCACATTTATCCAGAAAGCCATGGAGGGCATGGAGGGCCTGGAGGGCAATCTTCTGGGCAAGGCGGTGGCCATGGAGGGCAAGGCTCTGGATGGCAAGGCCATGGACGGCAAGAAGATGGCGCTGGCAGCTCCAAGAAGAAGTGGACTCCTGAAGAATGGAAAGCATGGAATCTTCAGAAGGGCTGGGCTGAGCAGCCTGCGCTTGGAGGAGAGAATGAAGAGGAGGCCATGCAGGCTGAGCATAAGGACGCTGAAATGGAGCAGCACGCAGAGCTCAAATTGGAGCTGAGGCTGCAAAAGGAGGAGACAAATCAAGCCATGGATTTGGTGGCTAGCAGGCAGAACTTCTTCCTGAAGCAGATGAGTGAAATGCAGGCCCAGCAGTATGAGAAGGAGCAGCTGCTCAGGAATGAGTTGGAAGCCAAGCACATGGAGATGGCAGAGCTGGTGAAGTGCTTGGCTGAGAGTAGGGGCCCTAGGGGCTTCTCAGAAGAAGAAGCAAGCGCTGCAGGAAGGCGCTGATCGTAGTGCCATGCATGTGGGCCCATGGTGGTGCATGGGTAGGCCACAGGTTGAGGCCATGAAAGGCATTTAAGACTGTGTAGCAAATGGGCCCACTTCATATAAGGCACTGTGCAGTACACAAGGGTCGGTGTGGAAAAGTGAGCCAGATTCACATGATGACAAAGGACTGGAATAATTTCGCATGTCCAGCCATGTGATGCAGCGCGTGTGTGTGTGGCCTGAGCCCTTTTGCTC